TGAGTTGGTTGTGAACTCCGGGTTATTTCTGTTTTTTTAATCCTGGGACAACCCAGGGTCAGGTCCACCAGCAACCCCCTGATCTGGGGGACAAAGGGTGAGAGGGAATGGCCTCAAACTGTGCCAGGGGAGGTTCAGGTTGGATATCAGGAAAAAATTCTTTGTGGAAAAGCATCCCCCAGCATTGGAACAGGCTGCCCAGGGCAGGGCTGGAGTCCCCATCCCTGGAGGGGTTTGAAAGCCCTGTGGATGTGGCACTTGGGGACATTGGGACATTGTTAGTGGTGGCCTTGGCAGTGCTGGGGAATGGTTGGACTCGATGTCAAATGCCTTTTCCAACCTAAATGATTCACAGCTTTATAAAAGCCAGGTCCTTAGTTGTTCTCTACTCACTCTTTTGGCCACAGCTCTCCTTCTCCCACCCAGCACAGCCTGTGCTCCCAAATTCACAGCAATCCCCTGGGAAGCACAAAGCAGGAACTGCAGCCATGCCCTGACCCTGGGAGGGTGGGCAGGCCCTGGCACAGGTTGCCCAGAGAAGCTGTGGCTGCCCCTGGATGCCTGGAAGTGTCCAAGGCCAGGTTGGAGCCACCTGGGCTAGTGGGAGGTGTCCTTGCCCATGGCAGGGGGTTGGAATGGGATGAACTTCCAGGTCTCTTCCAACCCAAACCATTCCAGGATTCTCTGACTCCCTGCACTGCTCACACCAGGACACCTGACCCAGCCACTGCCCATCACCTTCTCAACCCCTCCAAAACCCCAGCAGGTTGCTCTCACCTCTCTGGTCTGGAATTTAACATTCCCTACGTGTCTCCCCTCACACTCCTCCTTCAATCCCAAGTTACTGCACCCCCCGACTGTGCACCCGGGCTGAGTGAGCAGATGGGTTAAATTAAACAGGATTGGTACAACATTAGCAACCAGAGCAGTTACTTTCAGACACTTTAGAAACATTATAAATGTAATGAGTTTCTCCTTCCTTTTTTTGGGGGGGGTGGTGTTGGAGCAGGGGGAAGTGGCTCCTTTGTTCTGTAAACAGCATCTCCCACTGTTTTGTCAGAATTTTCCAGAACTGACATTGGTTTTGGAAGTTTTAGTATATGCCAATTAACTTATCAAACTAGATACATTTTTACCAAAATGTAACAACATTAAAAGGTAAGAAATAAATGAGAAGTTTTAAAAAAATCCAAATTAACTTCAGGAAAAAGAATAAACAGCAAAACTCAAAAATGTTTTATGTCCAAGCAAAATTAAAATTCCTGTAACTCTTCATGATCATTCTGAGGGACAAGGGGAGTCACAATTTAAGAGATCTTGTGGCAGTCACATGAGATTCCTGAAGTCCATAAGAAAATCTATCTTCTATTTTCAATACTAGTCAAACATCTGATTTTTCCACTGGGTAACCGTTTGCAACCCTAAGCTTCTAAATCTCTATAAAATTCATTTCTCTCTTCAGTCTTATTTCTTTGTAGGACAGGAGGGAGGGCAATAAAAGGACAATAAAAATATTTTACCAGGGAATGTGTGAGGTTAAGGATTAAGATTCATTCTGCATTACAAACCAGATGTTAATATGGTCAAGTGTCTCTGCAGAAAATGTTATTAAAATGAATACTATTATTATTATAATAATATCATATATTTTCTATATAGTTCTATATATTTTTATATATTTGTAAAAGGTATCTTGCATGGCTATTATACTTTATATAGTAATGTTATAATACTATTTTTCATTGAAAAACAGAAAACATCTGCTACTCACCCCTGTGCAGAATCTTTAGACTCCATAAATAGGTCAGGCCTTTCACAACCTGAAGTTAAAAGGAAAAAAAAAATCAAGTATTAGAGATTCCTGGTGAGAAAAACTGCAACACCTCATCTAATGAGAGACCCAACTTGTAGTGAAGAAAAGAGGCAGGACCAGGAAAAGGGGACACCAAACACCCCCTCCAAAGGATTCCAGGACCAGGTGAACTCCTGCTAAAAACCCACCCCAGGTTCTTTCAGAATACCCAAATTCTTCTTCCCAGGATCCGTAAATTGAAGTCAGTTGAGTTTATACTGAATCCCTTCAGGTAATTCCATGTATTTTGAATTCATCTGTCTTTGCTGGGGTGTTCAAAATCATGAGGGACAAAGGGTGTAATGATTTGTCTGCCTGCAACAGAAGCAACTCACTGAAACTAAAGGCCAGAAAACAATAAAATCTCTAATTCCCTCTTGCACTTCATCCTCTCTTCTTTTCCCTCTATTTGGTGCATCCTGCACCTTTTCCTTTCCTCTCCATGCTTTCAATTACTTGATGCAAACGCAGAATATTTCTTCTTGAACTGTGTATAAATGGTCTCATTCTTCACATTTCTCACCTTGGAACCAAACACAAACCTCCTTCTCTCCCATCACCCCAAAAAACACAACTGGGAGTCCTAAAACATAAGAACTGGGGCAGACCTTGCCCTGCTCCTCCAGAATTTCCTCCTTCCACCACCAAAACTGGGAAAAACAAACTGAAAAACCTGTTTTTTTCAATATAACATTCAATAAACACATTTGTGCCACTGCTCTCCTTCCCCCAACCCGCCCCTGCTTTCTCAGTCAACTCCTCTCACAGAGAAAATATTTTTTATCCCATTTCCATCTCTGAGGTGACTTTTAACTTATTTCCCTGAGACCCTCCTCGTGCACCTCCAGAACCACAAACCACTTTTGACACTGGTAAATTTGTGTGAGGTTTTTTTACATTTTTTTTCACTGTCTGAGTAGACCAAAATGAAATTATTTGTGTTACAGTGATCAAGCAGAAGTGCTAAAAATATGATACAGAGTGAAAGCAGAGAGCACAGTAATTCCCTGCCTTTCTATTGGACTAGAAACTCTTTTAAAATTCATTCTGTAATTAAAAATGACCTCAGTGGGGTCTGAATCTCTTTTGTAAAGCAAATCATGATGGTGGATCCCAAATAAATTGCTCCAGGTGGCAATTCCTCACTTAAACTCGTCCAAACCCAACTATCTCCTGGCCACAGGTGTGATCATGTTCACCTCAAGCCTTTCCAAAAGGTTGGACTTGGTCTTAAAGGTCTTTTCCAACCTTAATTATTCTAGGATTCCATGACAAGCGAAATGTGGGAATTTTACTTACACAGCATTTTGACATTATTATTATTAGTAACAACAACAACAACAACAACAATAACTTAAAAATATTGATGCAAAAACAAATCAAGGAGATGCAACATTTCAGGCTTCCTCCAATGGCCAAAGTCATTTTCAGAATACTCTTTGATTATTATAAATTTATTTAGACTATTGAAAAGCTTTAAAACCATTAGGAAATTATTTATTTTAAAGCAAGTAATCACAGAGAAAAAAAAGGAAACATTCCCTATGGAAAAAAAATTCAACAGTTGTGAGTTATTAAATATCTTTATTCTGGAACATGTGCTGGATAAGACATGGCATTAAACAAACTCTCCCTTCAGAGTCTCTCAGCATCAGAGTATAAAGGAATAAAAGGAGTTTTTCCCTTTATCCTGGGCTGTAAATATCCTCCCAGGAGCCTCCCAAATGGACTCACCCCGTGTAACACACAGTTATTCACTTCCCTTACATTTGCCTATTAGGGAAGGACTCTCAAGTATTAAATATTATTCTAAAATGGTGCTGGGAGAGAGAATCTTTTGATTGAAGTTCTGGCAGGAATTATTGGTATTCAGTAAAGTAGGTTTTACAACAATGACTTGACAAAGCCTTGACACAAAAAGTACTTCTACCTGCTGTCAATCACTCCCTCTCCTGACAGTTCAAGTGCACATCCTTTCAGGGAGAACTTCAATCAACATTAGCACTCAAAATACAGAGCACAATGTCACTGCCTCACAAATGGAAGGGAAAACAAATGTGTGAAGTGGCAAGCGGAGGGAGAAGGGATTTTACATCCCCAGCCCCAAAGCAGGACACAGCCCCAGGACAGGAGCCACCACAACAGCACTTTGGGGTTCCCAAGGTAGGTTTTCCTTTGGAAAACCCGCCAGGCCTTCACACAAATTGAGAACGCGAGGAAGGAGAGAGATTTCCCCTTCTTGTAGACACATAAAAAAGCAGGATGGATGTTATGATGAAGTCAGAGATCCCTCCACCCCTCCCAAAGGAAAGGCTGGGAGAGTTGGGATTGTTCAGTCTGGAGAAGAGAAGCTTCAGGGTGACCTAAATGTGGCCTTCCAGG